ATCCTATTTTGATGAATATGCTGATGATGATTTACCTGTTTTATGCCTTCCGCCAACATGACAACAAACAGTCAGAAATAACTGACTGTTTTTTCACTATCAGTAATTAAAACAATCGACTGATTGATAACTAACAGAAAAAGAGAAAAAGAAACGGAAGCCCAAACATTATTAAATTTATCAGAGTTGGGTCTAAAACAGTTGAAAGCCTTCTCACTGCCATCTACTGGTAGTGTGATGAAACCTTGTCTCTTTCTCATTACATCAACGGTAATTGTGTTTGGTGTCCTTGGACAGCTTTTATCTAAATTATATTCAGCACAGTTGTGGAATCAAGGCTGGGACTATGCAACAGTGAGATTAGTCTGAAGAAAAATGATGGACGTGTAAGAACTGAATTCATAGTGGTCTGTAAAGTCGGGTGCTGCAGTGACAGGAGAGCTTAAGATAGCCAAGACAGCATTTATGCATATTCAAACACAGCTATAAATAAACAATTGAATGGAAATTAAATATGTAAAATAAGACAAAACTTACCGAAGCTTAGTGAGTTACTGTTGTGCAAAGAGATTATAGTTGACTGACCCGGTAATGTAAAGATGAATATTCTACTTAATGTTGCAGATTATTGTTTAAATCCTCAGTTCTTTGGGAAGTGCACTCAGAGGCAGGGACTGGAAAAATACAGCACATTTTCCTCATAGTTACTAGATACAGATTTGTCACCTAAAGTAAGTAATCACCTTAACACGTTTGGCACACAAACAAAATGATCAGACCTCTATTGCATGTGCTGCATGTAATAACAGAAACTACTTTGGGTGACTTTGACCTTAACTGAAAACCAGAAAATAAACGTGCTCTGGAAATGGGTCAGCCTACTTCCGATTGACTCAGCCAACTAAAGAGACCCTTCCAGTCCCCTGACGAGAACAAGTCTCATGCTATTACTTTTATGAGTAGCAGAGAACATCACATCCTGTGCTAATGTCCCAGCTTATTGGTTTCTTTTGTATGGGATAAAAATACATTGTTGTCTTTGTATCAGTTGCAGTCACATAAAAGCACAGCAAAGTGCAATGCACTTTTTAACTGTCCCATGCATCAAGGCAAAGTCTTTGAGTAGTAAACCCCTGCATGGTCAATATTGCCTCAAGTATCTCCATTTTATTTGCATGAGTAAAAATTAGCATACTGAACTAGAAAGTAGTTACAGTGTAAATGTGAACTTTGATCATCTGTCAGCCCTGTGACAGACTGACATTCTCACACAGCTTCACAGAACCACATGATGGATGAGAGGTCTGTCGGCTCCACCTGTAATGACCTGAAAGCAGGTTGGATGGATAAATGAATTTCTCTTTTGTTGTTATTTTGCAATTTGTGTTATTTTCTTTAGAATAAATGAAGATTTTCTTAAGGAAAAATAATAATTTGCAAAACAATAATTTGATGAATGATTATTTCAGCAACTGTTCATTTACTTACTCTGAGTTACGCAACCAGACACTTCTGACAATTAACACATACCTCATCGGGGCAGGTGATGCACTTTTTGTGACGTCCATCATGTTTGTCTTCACGTTTTAATTCACTCTCAGTGGATGCAGCATGTTGACAAGGTGGTGTTCAGTATAGCAGCAGTCAGCGGGGTCTCCTTTTTTAAGGGCACTACATTAGAGATATCCAATTTCTTTCATTTTCCCTCTTCCTGTGTGTGTGTCCATCTATTAGCGCTGTCACAAAGGACTGTTTTTCACACCATGCCTCAATTTAGCAGTGGGTGATAATATGGGACACCAACCTGTTCCCACTGTTTGTGTGATTTCAAAAGTGGAAGGCATTGAAATTACGTCTGCTTTAACCTAAATTCTGGTTTTCCATCCCATTAGAAAAGAATATTTTACATTTTCTAATTAGGTGACATGCGTCATTTGATACACTAGTGCGCATCAACAGCTTTGAAGATATTTCCCTCGTTCTTTATTGATTTTGTACCTGCACTGCTGTTGCCATTGTCTGTTCAGTGGGTGTTTTTTCTGCAGAAACAAAATCCTCATTGGAATAAATTTAGCCAAGCTGAATTTTATGCTCGAGTAACAATTTGATTGGGTGTTTGCATATGAAAGGGAGTTGATGGTACATTACTGATCCCTCATTACAGTGATTTCTTCCATTTAGAAACTAAAGGTTACACCTTGAAGAAACAAAGCTTATTTATTCATTTCATTTTGCAAATGACAAAGTATTGAGAACGCTATTTAAGATTCATAAGCAGTAAAAAAAAAAAAGTTAAATATCACATATAAATGAATATCAAATATTTGTTTCTCTCTCTCTAAACTCTATTCGCCTATCTCTATTTCTACACCTCATTTTACGTGATTGCATTGTTGTCTGTTGTATGTATGCTGCTATGAAAGTTTTGTAGTAGTGAGTCAGCAGACACTGATGTGTCTGCAGTTTCATGAACAGAAATTATGCAAGAGAATTCATATTAATAATAGTAAAAATACCAAGAATGGAAAAGGATAAAAAAAGAAGTAGTAACCCACTAATCACTACAATTTAATAAATGTATTCACCTATGACAAGTATTCTTTTTCTGCTTTTTTGACAACACCGACTGCATTTTATGCTGTCCTGACATGTCAAGAGATGAGCAGAC